AAAATAGGCTATATTATAATGATACCCTATATTAGAAACAGTCATTAAAACATTAATATTAATAAATCCTGCTGCTCATATGGCCAGCAAAAGAATACTATTTAATTAAAATGCCCGCTAAATAGAAAAGGCTTTGCCTGGTGCCGAAAAGCCAAAAGTGTGGGAGCCAGGTAGATCTCTATAGGGAGGGCATTCCAAAGTTGGGGGGGGGGCAACAGCCGAGAAGGCCCTATTCTGGCATGCCATGCCCCTCACCTCTTTCAGGGATGGCACCTTCAGAAGGGCCTCCTCGTATGGAAGAAGGCGGTCCTTATTAGGTAACCAGGTCCTAAGCCGTTTAGGTCTTTATATGTCAAAGTAAGCACTTTGAATTGGCCCTGAGCAGCAACCGGCAGCCAGTGTAAATTTTTCAGAACCAGCATGGTATGAGTCCGTGCGGCGGCACCACTTACTAGCTGCGCAGTCCGGTTCATTGCCAGTTGCAGTTGCTGGATTGTCTTCAAAGGCCGCCCCATGTATAGTGCATTGCAGTAGTCCAGTCTGGTTGTTGCCAGTGAATGTGTGATTATTGCCAGGATCCGCTCATGGCTCTGGACAGCCTTTACCCAGTTGGATTGGAAATTATCATAGAAAATCAAGGGCAGAAGGCCTTGGGCGTTGGTATGTCCCTTTAATAGGTTTATTATAGACCGGATAAAAATTCAGGCCTCAACTCTTAGGAGACCTGCCTCCAATCGTATCCTTGCATTTGAGACACATCTGGGAACCCGAAGGATGGTTCTTAAAAATTTAGATTGCACCCTTTCTTGGGGTGCAAAATGTGAAGTAGGTGGCCCCAAAAATGAACCATACAGTGGTGCCCCGCATAGCGACGATAATCCGTTCCAAAAAAATTGTTGCTCTACGGATTCGTCGCTATGCGGGGCAAAAAAGCCCATAGGAACGCATTGAAACCCCTTCAATGCGTTCCTATGGGCAAAAAACTCACCGTTCTGCGGAAATCCTCCATGTGGCCACCATTTTCGCTGCCCGGTGAGGAAAAGGTGCAAAAACACCGTGGGCGGCCATTTTTTTGCCATTGAAAACATCATTATGCGATCGCTTTTGCGATCGCAAAAACCTCATCACTATGCGGATTCGTCGTTAAATGAACCGCTCGTTATCCGGGGCACCACTGTATAACAGTTGTGCAAGTGTCTTAGCCTTATAGAGATTAAGAGCAGTAGGAATAAAGAATACGCCCTGAGAGCAGTGAACCTTTGCTATATTGATTACGGTCCTTTCTCCTTGGATCAGCCGCATACTTACTTTGTTGAACCCTAGAGCCTGTGGCTTGTAGAATTAACCCTAGTATTTCAAGTTATTAACTTGCTCAATACGGTGACCCTTAATTGACCAAACCCTTGTCTTTGATTTGCGCCTAAAAGCAACTATCTTGGTTTTCTGATAGCTTCTTGTTAGAAACTCAGTTTCACAGTATGGCTTGGAGAATTACCCCTAGTATTTCAAGTTACTAAATTGCTCAATATGGTGACCCTTAATTGACCAAACCCTTGTCTTTGGTTTGCGCCTAAAAGCAACTATCTTGGTTTTCTGATAGCTTCTTGTTAGAAACTCAGTTTCACAGTACATAAGGAGAGTTTCTGCAAAGCCCTCCCCCGAATCACCAAAATCAGCGATTTTGCAAACATGTATGTTTCCTGGGAGTTTAAAATAGTAGTTCTTTATTGCTTTATTTTGATGTTGCTTACACAGATTTGCTGATTTTAGTACATCAGAGCACTTTCTGCGCTAGTAAAGTTATTTATATAAAAAATTAAATAACGCTGGGTCTAGTAAACAGCCTTGCCTGACTCCTCTATAAGCTTGGATGGCTTGTGTAAGGTGTCCTTGTCTACTGCATCTAACCAAGCTTGGATGGCTTCTGTAAGGTGTCCTTGTCTACTGCATCTAACTCTTAGGTACGTTTCTTTGCATAAGGCCCTTATAAGACACAGAAATCTTCTATCTATAGAGGACGTTATCAGTTTATCACAGAGTCACATTCTAGATATGAAGTCAAATTTAAAATCAGCAAATGCTGCATAAAGGGAGGTTGCACCTTTAGAAGAATATTTGTCAATAAGATGTTGAATAACTAGGCAATGTTGATCTCCCTGGCCTAAAATCTGCTTGTTCTGCTACTATGAAAACTTTATCCAGAAGGTGCCTTGCATAGAGTTGCTTATGGTGTTTAGCAAACTAATTGACCTGCAGTTACACGGGTCCTTCCTGTAAGCACAAATTAAAACACAAAGCAGACTGTGACCTCAATATAGCCAGTTGTTGCTGAGTGCGTTTAGCAAACTAATTGACCTGCAGTTAGACGGGTCCTCCCTATAAGCACAAATTAAAACACAAAGTAAAAAGCAGACTATGACCTCAATATAGCCAGTTGTTGCTGAGTTCCAAGTGAAATTCATACAATATAATGTAACTGGCACAATTGGGCACGCATGTGATCTATTTCAATGATTTTAAAACATATAAAAGAGTCTTCTTCATGTTCAAAGCCTACGTTGTGAAGCCGGGCCTCTGCCTTCATGGTTGATTCAAGTTTTATGATGAATTTTGTTCAATGCGCAGGTGCAAAAGCTCAAAGGAGCCAGAAGGGGAAAAAGAAGACAGCAGGCACCATGAAGTAAATTAAACTTTTATTTTGTAATACATATATATATTTATATATTTATATATTTAATAAGCTCACAATTGAGCCCAGACTTCAGTATACAATGTAGAAAGCGAGAGCCAGATACATCTGCGCTCCAGAATGCATATTGTTGGGAACCTCAAGCAGACGACAAGAACTGCTTGTGCATTAGTGCAGCTGGAAACACATGAGCCAGTGGTCAACTACCTCATCTTGAGTCAAACTTGCCCCACTGAAAGACTGTCAAAGACAACCCCAGTTGAAACCTATATGGGTGATTTGGTTGATTTTCTTTTTAACTTATATAAAATTAAATAGGGTCAACACCAAGCATTATTAAATTCCATTCATGTGATCCCAAACCTATTGCACCATGTATATCTGACTTGTGTATGTAAACTGCTTCACAGCTTGACAGGGTTTGAACTCATTAGAACAATCATTGCACCAAGCCTATGGTGTAGGGCTTTGTGGTCCTATGAAATACACTGGTAGGGATCACCAGTCAAATAGGCTGGAAAGCCATCCCACGGCCACAACGGCACGTTCTGTTGACTGGTCTGGTCTTGAGCGGGCACCACGTGTTCAGTCAAGACCAGGCATGCTTCCATTTCTCAACTGGTTAAGAAGAGTAGACCTCTTTCTGCCTGCCAAACCTTTGTTTCCAGACCCAACGGGATGATCTGCAGGAAACCCCTCCTTCACAGGGACCCACTGTCATCCATGAGGGGGTTAGGCAAGGGTGGTTTCTTTGCAAATCCCACTCACTCCACTGGATGATGGTCAGTGACGGCAGTGCAGGAATTCAGGAAACAAAACCGAGAGAGATTCTTATGAGTTTTGCAAGGGGTATTCGGGTGACCGGTCCGCTTGTTAAGTTTACCATTTGTTTCCCCAAGTGAAGAAAACCACTTCTGCATGCCTCTGGATCGGGAAGAGCCGCAGGACCCAGCTGAATGCAACAAGCCATTGAGAAGGGAGGTCAAGGTGCCACCACCGCCCCGCCTAGCTTCAGGCAAATGTTTGGCTTAACTCTCCCTTGGAAGGCTGAAAGGAATCTAAACAATAAACTTAAAAGCAGGCCATACGGACGTGGCCCGATCGAACTGCCAGAGCAACCTGCAAATATCAGAAAACTAGAAGAGGAAGTGGTCATTGTTTGCCTGCAAGGTGGATATACCATGGTTTCACGTTATCGAAAGCTACTTCCCAGAACGACAGTGACGTGTGTTTTCTCCCCCCCTTCCCTCCTTCCACCCAGTAACTGATCAGGGATTACGAGTGCAAGTCTTCATTCCACCTTTGCCACCTGCCACGGCTGCTGCCACGGCGTTCCAAGGCTCACTTGTCGGAACCTTTCCGCGGCCTGCGGAAAGTGGGGGTATCTTTGTTCAGAGCACAGATCCTTCGGGAGAACTCTTCGAATTCCCCCAAAACTTGTTCGTCGCACTCCACGGCCACTGCGTGGTCCACTGGGATGTAGTTAAAGGCTTCCAGCTGGTCTCCGGTGCCAAACCCTGTCGCTTCCATGCCCATGATCTCTTCCGCTTGCTCGACCGTGCACAGGAGGTTGGCGCCCAGGGGGCCACGGAATGCGCACGGCTGCTCGCGGGCGATGTTCTCGGGACGTTCGCTGGGCAGCGCCGCGCCGTTTATTGCACGAGATGATTCCAGGAGAGGCTCCTGCTGATCTTGGGAATCGTTCAGGTTCCTGTTTTCACCATTTAAACTGTTGCACACATCCCCTCCTTTTCTGCTTTCTTTTGAGAAGTCAATAGAGGTATCTAAGGAAGAGGATAAAGACCCAGCCTTTCTCTCCAGCTCTCCGGCTATGGCAATAGGTTGGGTTAAAGCGGAGTTGTAACTCGGAGGAGGCGTCTTATATTGCAGTCTCTCATTCTCCGAGCTGGCCCGTTTCCGAAGTCCCTTATCTGGAGAAGGATGGCTGCCGGAGAAGCCCACATCCAAGCCCCCAAATGCAGAACTCTGTCTCTTTGGAACTGGAACGGCGCTGGAAATGTGGTGCCGATCACTAGGAAAAAGGCAGAGAATGACTGTTAATGTGGGAGACCCCTTGCAGAAAGGCTTCGTAGCCTGAGGAGTCAGAAAATCATAAAAAATGAGCCCTTCTAAGAAAACATATTGCCACTCCTCTGAGATTTCCAGTTAGTCGGAACTTGATTAGGGTCTCCTTCCTCGTTGCTTGTCTTATTGTTAAATGGACCTAACTCCACCTGGTCTGAGACTAGCATTTCTTATTTCTTAAAGAGATTTTAACAGTTCATTCTATGACCTGCTTATTTTTGGTGTAAGTCCTGCAGTCTTTATATTAGCTCTTTTATAACTTCCATTACACCATGAATAAAAATATAGAAAGGAACTGCAATGTGAATCTTGCAGCCCATGAGCTTTTATGAGTTAGCAAGACCTGAATCCCAGATTTCCCGCATGGAACTCCAGCCCTCTCTCCACTATACTGTACTATTGTTAGGATGATCTTTTGGACTGATTAATGACCCAGAATTAATAGCTGGGCTTAATACAGAAAACCTTGTGATGGAGTTAGGTAATGTGCTTCACATTGGTTGCGCATGGACCCAAAGCTTATGCGTGTTCCTTGGGTTGAGTTACTTCCATACTTCCAATTCTCACTCTGTGCCCTCCCGCTCTGCAGAATTTATGGCTACACAGGGAAAATACTGCTGATTAAATGCCAGAAAAACAATTTTCAGAGGAAATGCATCAAAATCACAGAGCTATTCTTTTGGGTGCACTGAAGGAGACAGTAATCCATAAACCCTTGTGCTATTATAAATGTGTTAGTCCTTAAAATCCCATGAAACACACTGCTGCTTTTATTCTATGGGTGTTCACTCAGCAATCTTAAGATGGTTATATTATCACTACTTCTTGCTAATGTGAAGGTCATTTTGCACACACTTAAGCTCTGACTTAACTGTCACTGATTATGCTGTTTTCCAAAGCTTTGCTATTTAATCCTGATCGTTTCGTGGGGAGGGGGAGCATCAAATCCCTCCTCATTCCGTTATGTCCCAGTATCACAGCTCAAACAATTGCAGATGACCATGCTTCTAGTCCAGAAAAACAGGTGATGCAATAAAATCTCATCTTTAAGGTTTCAGAAGTTAGAGTTTTTCCCCAGAAAAGCATCAGTGGTCGCCACACACAGAAGAGAAGGCAAGTTATGGTTCTTCTCAACGTGCCTGTTCCATAAATCCTTCATCCTTGTACATGTTTTAGGATTCTGCAGTACATCCAAGCCTTTCAGTCTTTATTCTCATTCTAGAAAGTGAACCTTGCACTACATTGAGAACACAAGCAAAACATAGATCTCAACTTCTAATGTCACATCTAAGGCCAGGTTTTAGCAGAAATTCTTTAGTTCAAAAAAATAATAATACAGAATTGGATCTAACTAAGGTTGGATCTAGATGTTTGTACCAAAGGAGAGTTCAAGAGCTGGCTAAAGACCCAGGAACTGTTCTCTCAAAACCCTTCCAAAAAAAAAAGAGAGAGAGAGAGTCTAAAGTTAGGGACCTTGTGTTCAGATCTGCTTTATTAATCAGTTCCAACTTTTAGGATGCAAAAGTATAAAATGTGTAAAATGTCTGTGGACATATGAATGGGGCCTGGCCTACAGATATCAGGCCTGTGGACTTGACTCCGAACTTATGGAACAGCCTACTTTTGAACGGAACTGAGGAAATCTTGGCTTTCTTTAATAAACAACATAACTGTTTTTGGTCAGCAAAAAAGGCAAGAGTATTTAACCTCAGCCTGGACCCTTTGCACAATGGAAGGAAGAAAAAAGGTAGAGACATGACTGCTATGGCCACAAGGCTCCGGCCAAACTGGAAGGAAACGGAACAGTATGGAAAGGCTACAAGGGTGGATCTTTCCAGCGTTTCCAGGCCCAGAATGCTCCCTGATACAGTCACATCATGTGCTGCAGGACAAAGGGATGGTTTACTTCCTGGAAATAAAGAAGCAGGAATGCTCTTTCTCTCCCAACTCACCATCTATCAATATAGAACTGGATAGTAACAACAGCAGCAATAAAAAGAAATGCAGAACTGGAAGGGAACTGAGAGATCATCAAGTCCACCTCCTATCCAGGAGGCCCAGCGGGGGATCGAACCCCCCCCAACCTCTGGCTCCACAACCAAGGCTAAACCAGTGAGCTTATCTAGCAGCCAAGGGTGGAGGTAAAGAAGCCAGGAAAATTAGGGGTGTCATAGAAACAAAAAATAATTGCTGTTTGGGAGAAAGATACTCACACTCATCTGCATACATATTTTTCAGTTCACATTTTCTTGTGCTACTTTTTATTTTTGAAGCTTCTGACCTCTCTGCTGCTTTTGGGTCTCAATTTGCCTTAATTTTGAGGGAAGCTTCAGTTAGATGACACCTTCTGGGAGATGCTGCAGCTCCCCTTCCCTTGTGATTCTTTTAACAAAGTATTACCTGTCCCAGGGGTAGATTTGTAGCCTGGGGTCTGCGATGAGTCAATTTTAATTCCCTCACTTTCTTCTGATATTTATTCTCTGAACATCCACACCCACGAGGTCCAGATGGGAAAATATCATTTTACATTTTTTTTCCTTCTGATTCTCGCAGGTGAATTTCAGGGGACTGGCAAAATACTTCATGATCATCGCTTACTGGCAATGAAAACGGTGTTTCCTGTCGGTGCTGCTAAAGGCTATTTCTCCTATCCTCTGATTTGGCTTTGATCTGACGTTTCGTTAATTTTTTGTGAATTTTTGTTTTTTGGCCCATAGGAACCAATGGACCTGTCAAAATCTGACAGCTCCATGCTTTCCTATGGGGGAGAAAACAATTTACAAAAAATTAACGAAAGTTCAGATCAAAGCCAAATCAGGTTTGCACATGACTTAAGGGGTCCTCTAACGAATCCAAGCATTTAGAACCGTTTTGGACCCTTCTAAGACACTTTTTAAATTGAAAACAAAAAAAACGTTAAGCGAAGCAGGGGACCTAAAACCAAAAACGTTAAGCGAAGCATGGTCCCAAAAACGCTATGCGAAAATCACCCATAGGGAAAAACGTTATACGAAGCACAATCTGCCTCTGAAAAAATAAACGTTAAGTGAAAAAAACGTTAAACGAAGCAAACGTTAAGCGAGGCACCACTGTATTGCAGTCCACAGTGCCAGGAACAGGGAACAAGAAAGAGCCAAGAAAGAGCAAATTTGGGGTAAGGAGAGAGGAAAAGAGAGGATGAACATTTTGCCCACTGCAGAACCAAAAGTGTTCAAACTCAGCTCAGGCACAAGTGGAGAAAGGTCTTGCATGCACGCATCCTGAACGCATTACAACAAAGTGGATTCAGAGCATGGGGGGACATTTCCACAAAACTTTCTGAATGTCCTTCTGGAAGATTTCTAGAATATTTTTTTCAATCCAAATTTTTTCTTGTAAAACCCATGTCCTGATATTAGTGAGCCCTGAAAAAAAAAACGGCTGAAAATGAATTTGGTAGTCTGAAGCGTTCTACACATTTCTTTTCTCCAGAGTGAGAACTGAAAGACTCAGGCTGCTGAACAGCTCAGCTTAATGGGGCTGGCCCATAAAATTAAGACGTCCTTCCCCCTTAGCCACTTAAGGCATTTAAAGTCCATTTTCTCAGCAAAAACATGTGATCCAATGGTGGTAACTCAAGTTCAAATCTCTGCTTGGCCATGAACTAATCTCAGCCAAGCTTCTTCCTAACCCTAAACCCACAAAAACAACAAAGAGGCTCATGGCACCATGGAGATTCAGGTAACTTCCAGGTGGAAGTTCCTACCATGTTTCCTCGAAAATAAGACAGGATAATCACAGTCAAGCTTCTTCCTAACCCTAAACCCACGAAAACAACAAAGAGGTTGCTGCACAAGGGCGGAGGGCGGGGTTTCACTTCACTGGGGTTTATTTTTGGGGTAAGGCTTATATTACGAACATCCTGAAAAATCATACTAGGGCTTATTTTCAGGGTAGCTTCTAATTACAAGCTGGCTGCAATGTACTGAACTTAGAATATTATTTTTTTAACTACAACTTCCAGAATCCCCAGTAGTTACTTCTGATTACAAGCTGGCAGCAATGTACTGAACTTAGATATTATTTTTTTAACTACAACTTCCAGAATCCCCAGTAGTTAGCATGGCCATAGATCTAGTGACATATGGGTATAGGTTTCTGCACAGCATTCACAGGGAACAGAGTGTTATTTTTATTTATTTGTGCCACTTATATCCTTCAGATGGCATTGCCGTGTTTCCCAGAAAATAAGACAGACAATTTTTGCTCCAAAAAACACATTAGGTCTTAATTTCACGGGAAGTTTTTTTTATTATTATTATTTCATGTATAACAATCTATACTTATTCAAATACAGTCGTGCCCTGCTGGACAATTTCCCCGCTCTACAACAAATCCGCTTTACGTTGATGTTTTTGCAATCGCTTTTGCGATCGCAAAACAATATTTTAAATGGAGTTTTTTCACTGTGCGATGATCGGTTTCCTGCTTCGGGAACCGATTTTCGCTTTACAACGATCAGCAAACAGCTGATCGTTAGGTTTCAAAATGGTCGCCGGCTGAAGAAAATGCCCCCCGCTGTTTCCTAGGACAGATTCCTCGCTTTACAGGCACCGAAAATGGCCACCGTATGGAGGAGCTGCGCTGGACAAGCAGGTATTCAGCCCATTGGAACGCATTTCAATGGGGTTTTTTATTTCGTTTGACGTTTTCGTTTTACAGCGATTTCGCTGGAACGAATTAACATCGTCAAGCGAGGCACCACTGTACAGTCAATGTCATCTTCTTCTGGTTGCCACACAAGGGTGGAGGGTGGGGTTTCACTTCACTGGGGGCAGGGCTTATATTACGAGCATCCTGAAAAATCATAAGTCACATCACCCCAACTTCTGCCCATATAAAGCTAGAGAGAACAATAAAGATTCCTGTGGCATTTTAAAGGCTTAACCCGTTCTATCAGGTGGGGGGCTCTTCTGGAGTATCCAAAGGTGTCGGCTACTGCCCACAAAAGCTTGGTTTCTAGAAACCAAGATGCAGCTTCCGAGGCTGTAGGATACAATTTGCAAAATCTCAGGCCACATAAAACCTGTTCCATTTTACAGCATCTGAAGATGATCTGTTGGTTTTGCTGCAAAAAACAAACATGGCTACCCTCTTGGAAATTAATCCTGCTGGTTACCAAAGATTACCGAAACAAGAGAGATCATCAAATGGCAGAAACCACGTCCCAGGAGAGTTGTAAACAAAAATCGCACAGAGAGACCTAATCTTCTCCAATGTCATGCTGATCAAAGCAGGCGAGAAGGGGTGATCTTGAGATCCTTGGTCAGTCATGTGGATCAAGAGACTGCAATCAGTCAATAGCGGGGCTGTTCCTGCTGTATATATACTGCTATAAATCTTAATTTTAATCACTCGGGCCCTGCGGATATCAATTTAACCATCAGTGCACAGAGGATTGCAGTTGCCTACATTCCACACATGCACACCAAAACTGGCTCTTGCAGTCAAGCATGCTTGCACCTAACTGGCCTTGCTAGAAATATGGCCTCTTAATCTTCCCCTTGAGGGAGGATCTGTGAAAAGCCTCATTACCGTTTATGCTGTAAGGAAGGACCAAGGGGTACCGTTCAGAACCATCAGCCCTACCTGAGCCTTGGAGGCGAGAAAGAAATGAGGCATAGATATGCACAGGGCCAGGCAGTGTGGAGGGAACATGATAGTCCCACAGAAGGATGGCTAATATCCACACATGTGATGAAATATTAGCCAGGCAAAGAATGTGTTTTGTCTTGATAATGAGAACATGCCACTCTAAGGAGGCACCCGGGGACAAAAGGCTACCTTCAAGTCAGAAAGCAGAATTCCACCATGAGGAAAAGCCAAATGCCATATATTTTATTTTGAAGAGGGATAGGTTTGCCTTTCAATCAAATGAGTCATAAAACCGCTTATAAGCAACAGGTAACTTAAAATTTAAAAAAAGAAACCCAACCCAACAACAACCACACCCAACCCCTTAACCGATGAATAGGCCAAATCCTGCTACTCACTGGTTATGCAGTCTTAGGGTGAGTGCCACTTGGGAGCCAGCGCTCCTTCTGGTAGTAAGCAGGGAAGCAAGCTGTGGTCTAAAGCAGTGGTCCCCAACGTTGGGCCTCCAGATGTTCTTGGACTACAACTCCCAGAAGCCTTCACCACCACCTCTGCTGACCAGGATTTCTGGGTGCTGAAGTCCAAGAGCATCTGGAGGTCCAACGTTGGGGACCACTGGTCTAAAGAACAAGACCAGCCTGCCTGCCTTCTGGCCATGATGCTCTTCGGGAAGGTACAGAGTGCAGCCTGCAAGCGGTGCTTGGTCCCATGGCCAGTGGCTGCCATGTTTACTCTAAGTCCATAAGTAAATTAGATAAGACACCTAAATTGGGACCAGCGCTATAAGCAAGTTATCCCAACTTTGCTGAACAAAGCAGAGTGGTGGCCATGAATAGAGGGAAGGGATGATAGCAGAACACGAGAAGCCGTGGCATTTTTGCACTGCATCAGTATGATCAAGATCAAATGGGGTGGGGTGGGGGACAGCAGGTTAACGGATTGCAGGTAGACAACAAACCATGGGGGGGGGGAGGCAGCTACTCCACAGCTAAACTCCTCCCTCCAATCTCTCTAGCTTCAGGGCCTTCCAGCACTTTGGCCTTTTCAGCTTTTCAAGATGACACTGTTGAGTTAGAGGTTTCTTTGTGCATATTATCTATTCCAATTCATGGCTGTCGGGCAAGGAAGAAGTGGAAGTTATTTAGGACAGAATTCCAGTCCACTTCCATTGAATGCCTTTGAACAGGAAAGTTGAGCCCTGGTTGACCAAGGCTTCCCTGTGGATGTTGACCACAACTCAACTGCAAGTGTTACTAGGGGTCATCAGCAGAGAACACACAGTAAACCGGGCTCTTTGGTAACTTCCCATACTTCCCCTATTTTCTTCTTAAAGAACAACCTCCCTCCTGCCATTTTTAGGAGATCAAGCAAGGCTTTTTGTCCGATACAGCATTTTGTGAAAAATTCTAACCATCCAGCTACATCGTTCCATCGCCAAACTGTACAGTATGGGTGGAGGCAATTGTACTCACCATCTGACCATCAGGCCATGCTCCAGAAAATTTTTCAGGTTTGGAAGGGTCTGCCTTAGATCTGGAGTCCCCAGGCTATGTTGGTATCTAAGCTACGGAAGAGAAAACGGTGAAGATTAGCTGGCAGTTTTCTTGAGCACCTGGAACATCCTTCAAACAGACTGGAGATAGAAAGCTGTTTTGCTCGCTATATGATCAGTAACGAAACCATTAGCGAAGTGCTCTTCCAGTGCTCCTGGCAAAGGAGCGCCCCCCCCGAACATCTTAGGACTTGCAACCTCTTAAATATGAATAAAGCTGGGCTGTAAGTCTTGACGTTGAATTCAAACAAATGGTATCACTGCCACAGTCCCCAGCTTACTACAACAACAAATTTCATAGGCTCTAAGAGAAAGAATTTGAAGTGTTGGTTCTCACCTATAAAGCCCTACATGGCTTGGTTCCAAGCCATCTCAAGGACCTCGTCTCCCTTTATGAGCCTACCTGGATGTTAAGATAATCAAGAGAGGCCTTCCTTTCTTTCCCAAACCCATCACAGGTGCATTTGGTGGGCACACAGGAGACAGCCTTCTCTGCGGTTGCTCCCAGACTTTGGAACTCCCTCCCACAGGAGGCCAAGCTGGCCCCATCTTTACTCTTCTTTTTGCAAGCAGGCAAAGAGATGTCTCTTCAGGTAAGCTTTCCCTGAGTGACTGTCTGCCTGAGTGGGATTTTTAAATGGATTGTTGTACCTTACTCCTTTGGATGTGTTTTGCTTTTGCTTATGTTTTTTAATATGGTATTTGTTTGATCTTTTTTAACAGACAGTTTCTACTTCATTTCATTATTGGCCCTCTCCTTCTGGAATTTATTGGTGACCCTCTCATTTATTTTTATTTTTTGCATTATTTAAGTTGCAATCTTTAAAGAGTTGGGAGGATATTTATTTTTCATTCCTTAGTACCTCTGACATGAAATTGACCAAATTTCTTCATATCTTATGAGATTTTATATAAATAAATAAAAAATAAATAAATACAACCCCCAGAAATCCTGATCAGCACAGTCAAATTTCTTCATATCTTACAAGATTTTAGAGGCGTCCACATAATTTTACAAATCCTCACTTTTTAGAGCCCCTTACACCACTTACATCTTCTCTCTTGTCCCCAATCATAATCCACTGCAATGACAAAGTGACACACATTTCATTTTCTTAAATAGAAGATTGCCAGAACAGGAGCCTTTCTTACGGGCAGTCAGGTGACCCAGCATTCATCAAAAAAAAAAGAGAGAAAACAGCACTGCTAATGATGGTGGGAATCAGAAAGTTGTATTCCAACATTACGAACCCAAATGAAGCTCGAATTTATGTTAGCAAGCCTGTTACTGGGCCTACAACTCAGAAATTAAAACTCTTTAGGGCAGTGGTTCCCAAATTTGGGTCCCCAGATATTCTACAACCCCCAGAAATCCTGATCAGCACAGCTAGTGGTGAAAGCTTCTAGGAGTTTTAGTCCAAGAACATCTGGGGAACCAAGGTTGGGAATCACCGTCTTAGGGAGTTTAAATTAAAAGCTGATTTAGTGTGATTTAAACAATTGTCTGGACGAAATGATTACCTTTCAGCAGGACTAATCAAGGGCTGCTGCTTGCTTACATTTCACAACGAGTTCTTAGAGCCCATTCACAGCTGGGAAGATCTGCAAGAACCTCTCATAATAGCTTCAAGGTGGATCTCGGAAATAATTACACAGTGAGAGATTATAGAGCCTAGATTTATTCACCTGATAAATCAGGAGCCAGGGATGGCCAGAAGAGCTCTATTCCATGAAAGAGACCTTGGCCCTTATGTCATATTTGGGCTTAGTAAGTGTTACCCACATCAACGACACCTGAAGGACCGGCTACTCTGCATCACGCTCTCTACAGTCTATAAGGGAGCAAAACTGCTTTACAAAGCAATAGAAAATGGGAACTTGCATTCTGAGCTAACAGTGTAAGCAGGCGGCAAATGTAGTTTCGCTTGGCTATTTTCTCCAATCCAAGCCAGAAGCATCAGAGGCGTCTTCTATGCATTCTTCTGATTCTGAGTTTTAAATTTTATGCGAGCATAACCTATCTTGTGGCAAAGAGTCCTATAAATTAAATTAACTCTGCCTTATGTGAAATACCACCTTTTGGTTTGGGCAGGAAATGAGATACCTTTGTTGCCTCCAACATTTAAGGCACTTAACTGAATTTTAATCAAATTTTTAAGATGGCACACTGCAAGCTTTCAGTTTTTATGACCTAGCACAGCTTTTCAGAATATGGTAGCTAAGGCTCAACATAATGAGAAGTACAGTTCAGTTTATTTATATCATAATAAACTGAATCTATATTTGAACACAGGATGGTATTTTTTTTTACTCAAGGAATCTTAGGGTTTACAGTTTTATGCAAGCTTTCTTAAAAACAGAAACAGCAGCATATAAACCAACATATAATTCTGTTCTAGGTGCTGTTACAAAGTAACATGATATCACATGGATTTCACTGAATCCTGTTTTCCATATTTTCACATTTCAAGGTGAGCAGCCTCTGCACCCTGAAGAGTCAGGAAGCCCAACAGAGGAAGAGAAATAAAGCGAGAGAAAAGATGGAAATGCATCTTATGAAACTACTATTTGCACATGGTCTCCATCAGGAAAAGCTTTCCTCTGCATTTCAAGATCCAGACATTTTTTTTGCTTCAGAGCCCATGGTCTTCCTTTCCTTAGGCTCTTAAACTGTGGAAGCCCCAGTTTTATATTTGCAAGAACTGAGAATTGTTCATGAGAAGGCATTTTGGAGGGCACTCATTTATAAGATGACCGTAAGTCAGGAAGCTGACCACCAAAGAATTGATGCTTTTCAATTGTGGTGCTGGAGGAGAGACACTTGAGAGTCCCCTGGACTGCAAGGAGATCAAACCTATCCACTTTCTGAAGGAAATCAGCCCTGAGCGCTCACTGGAAGGACAGATCCTGAAGCTGAGGCTCCAGTACTTTGGCCATCTCATGAGAAGAGAAGACTCCCTGGAAAAGACCCTGATGTTGGGAAAGAGTGAGGGCAAGAGGAGAAGGAGACAACTGAGGAAGAGATGGTTGGACAGCGTCCTCCAAGTGACCAACATGAATTTGACCCAACTCCGGGAGGCAGTGGAAGACAGGAGGGCCTGGCGTGCTCTGGTCCCTGGGGTCACAAAGAGTTGGACACGACATAACGACTAAGCTACAACAACAAAACAAAAGCGTTCCTATCTCTGGGTTGGATGCCTGTTCTATCTCAGCTTCTGTGTTCTAAAAAACACAAGACCCACCGAATTTCTAGGTCAGGGGCAAGTTTCTTGGTCCCCACAGAAAACGGTCGTTTCCAGACACATATTCTATTGTTTATGCAGGGCATGTGGGCAGCAACTTTCTGCAGTTCAATCGATGGCTGGAGCATAGGGTGGACATCTGTGGCCCCAAGGCTCCAACAATCCATACCACCGGATATGCTGGGAAGTGCAGGCCAGACACACCTGGAGATCTGCAATTTTTCCACCCCTGGACTAGAGGGATGCAACATGGGACGGCCACGTTAAGCACTATCAGATACAGGACAGGATATATGACATTCCTTGCATGTGCCCTGATGGCTTCAGGAAATATGAACTTCTGTCAAGAGCCCAACTCCACATAGCCTAAACTTTGGATCCACTCTGTCCTCAGCACAGCGTGTTCAGTTCTACTACAAAGCAATAATAAAAGGAGTGTCCAGGAGGACCCCTGGTACGAGGTTGGATGGCAACCTGCAGACCACGGGCCACATAGACTCCCATGCCAAGTCTTCCAAATTCGGTGGTGCAGCAGTAGGGGGAAAGGAAGCATTTTTCACTAAAGAAGCATTTTGTACAAACAACTAACCATCTGAGTGGGTGGGAGTACAAAAAAGGACTTCTTCTTTTGTAATAAACGGTTGAAAAATGAAAAGCGCACAAAAGCTCCTGTAATTTTTCCCTGTAAGGAGACAACTTTTCGCAGGTGAGAGCGACAAAGCAAAGATTTACACCCTTAATCTGGACACACCGACCTGATTACAAATACACCATAGATTATTCCCGCATACAGTAGTTTAGCCCTCTGAATCCTAAAAAAAGCCAATTTTCTGAACCAGGACTTTGGCTCATCTTGAAGCAGTACAGAATTGTGGAGCACACTAAGAAAATGTCTTCGTTACTTCTCATAACTTCTGAAAAATTCTTAAGTGACTCTTACAAAATACTACTTACACTATTATACCTTAGAGCTTCTTTCCCCTTTTTAAAGAAGAAAACGCACACATTACATATGGAAATCAGTTAGAAGGTATATAATCATTCTTTTTAAAAAGCCCATCCCCAACTTCTAATGGTTTTGTAGTATATAAATAACCGGATTAAGGGACTTAAGGAGGCATGCATCAATCCCAAATATAGTCAGGCAGGGAGACTTATGAAATAGGAAAGAGGCTGTGCATAAAAGTAACAGCTACGTCCTATTTTCACTTAATCATTTTAATTTGGGAGTTGTCAAGGGAGTTCAAGAGCACCATCCAAAAGCAGCTTTCACGTCAGATAAAAGCTTTCTTGGCTCTGGATCTGCAATTATTTCAGCTGTCTCCTCGGTTTTCGCGGGGGAAAGCCCAGACTCTAGTCCAGAGTTGAGTTTCTCCTTCTAAGTGCAAGTGCGTTACCAGGCGCGGGGGAGAAGGAGCAGGTCTTTTTCAGCGGGAACAGTAAAAGTGGCGAATGTGCAAATCAGCCCGCTCAGGTGCCTGCGAAGACCCAGCTACATTGCTGAGGCCAAAATGGTCACCACTCTGGGGGACAGCCATAATGTCAGCCCTTAGACAAGGCTGGCTCCAGGCCAGGGTCAGTGTAGTGTTAATATAAGGGGGACTCCTCTGCGGAAAGAGATCTCCCAATGAATATCCACTCAGACTATATTAGAGTGGGGGGCAGTACAGCTGTCTTGGAGTGCTGACATTTTTCTGAGTCTCCAAGTAAGCAGCTGAGCATTGCATTAAATGCATTGCAAGGGGGAAAGAGGCATAAGTAAGCAGTACA